CATCCCAAAGGTGTGTTAGAAGATGTGTTAGTCCAAATGAATGAACTAGTGTTTCCAATAGATTTTTATGTCCGTGACATGGATGATGATGACTCACCAAATTTGAGTTCAATTCTCCTAGGAAGACCTTTTTTGAAAACAGCCAGGACGAAAATTGATGTTTATGATGGTACATTATCCATGGAATTTGATGGGGAAGTGATAAATTTCAATATTTATGATGCAATGAGATATCCAAGTGATATTTCATCTTTGAATTTTGTGGATGTCATTGAACCATTGACAGATGAGTGTTTTGATTTGTTTAATTTGGATGTGTTAGCTCTTATTTTAGACAGGAATCTTCAAAAGGAAAGAGCGGAAAAACTTGCCAATCAATTTACAATTGATAAAGAGATTATGGAGGTTGTGTCTTGAATGGATGAGAAAAAGAAAATGAAGTTTGATGTTCAAAAGCTGAAAATACCAATGTCTAATGAGAAACTTGTTCCTTCTATTGTGCAAGCATTGGAATTGGAGCTCAAAACTTTACCCGGGCATCTGAAGTACGCATATCTTAGAGACAAAGAAACTTTGCCAGTGATCATTTCCACCAAGTTGCCAACAAAAGAAGAGGAAGAACTTGTCACCACTTTGAAGTAATATAAGGAAACAATTGGGTGTACTATAGCCGACATCAAAGGGCTAAGTCCTTCGCTTTGCATGCATAAAATCCTTATGGAAGAAGATTACAAGCCTTCCCAAGAAGCTCAAAGGCATTTGAATCCTCTAATGATGGAGGTTGTGAAAAACGAGATTTTGAAGTTGTTGAATGTGGGGATGATTTACCCTATATCAGATAGTAAGTGGGCAAGTCCGGTTCAAGTTGTGTCGAAGAAGACAGGTATTACCGTTACAAAGAATGTCCAAGGTGAGTTAGTCCCCACCCGTATGCAAAACGGGTGGAGAGTTTGCATTGATTATAGAAGACTCAATTTCTCAACTTGGAAAAACCATTTCCCACTTCCCTTCATTGATCAAATGTTGGAAAGGTTAGCAGGAAAAACACATTATTGTTGCTTGGATGAATATTCCGGATTCCATCAAATACCCGTTGCACCCGAGGACCAAGAAAAAACTACTTTCACATGTCCCTTCAGAACATTTGCATATAGGCGAATGCCTTTTGGGCTTTGCAATGCTCCAGCCACTTTTCAAAGGTGCATGGTAAGTATTTTTTTGGAATTTGTTGAGGAAATCATTGAAGTTTTTATGGACGACTTCACAGTTTATGGTAATTCTTTTCATGAGTGTTTGGGTAATTTGAAAAAGATTTTGCAAAGATGTATTGAGACCAATCTTATTTTGAATTATGAAAAGTGTCACTTTATGGTTGATAAAGGTCTCATACTAGGTCACATTGTGTCTTCTAAGGGTCTAGAAGTGGACAAAGCAAAAATAGAAGTCATAAAATCTTTACCTTATTCCACTTGCGTTCGTGAGGTGCGCTCATTTCATGGTCATGCAGGATTTTATAGAAGGTTTATCAAAGATTTTTCCAAGATATCTCGTCCCATGTGTGAGCTCTTAAAAAAAGATGCAGAATTCGAATTTTCTAGAGAGTGCAAGCAAGCTTTTGATCAGTTGAAAGAGTTGTTGATAACAACACCAATACTTCAATAACCGGATTGGAGTTTGCCTTTTGAAATCATGTGTGATGCCAGAAATCATGCAGTTGGTGCAGTGTTAGGGCAACGAAAAGACCGTGTTCCTAATGTCATTTACCATGCCTAAAAAACACTTGATAGTACACAAGCCAACTATTCAACAACTGAAATAAGAATTTTTATATATTGTCTTTGCTTTAGAAAAAATTCATCAATACATGCTAGGTTCTAAAGTCATTGTTTATTCTGATCATGCAGCTATTAGGTATCTACTTGCAAAGAAGGACTCGAAGCCTAGACTCATTCGATGGGTATTACTCTTGCAAGAGTTTGACATTGAAATCAAAGACAAGAGCGGAAAGTCAAATCTTGTAGCTGATCATCTTAGCAGGATTGTTTTTCCCGATGACTCAACTCCCATTCATGATGCATTTCCCGATGAGAACCTATTTTCAGCAAAAGTTGCCCCGTGGTATGCCGATATTGTGAATTACATCGTCACAAATCAATTTCCACCAGATTTGACGCGATGACAAAAAGATAAAATCAAGAAAGAAGCCAAGAGGTATGTTTGGGATGAGCCATATTTGTGGAAATATTGTGCTGACCAAATGATTAGACGATGTATGGATCAATATGAGATACCTTCTATCTTAACATTTTGTCACTCTTATGCATGTGGAGGACACTTTGGTCCTCAAAGGACTGCAAGAAAAGTTTTAGAGAGTGGATTTTACTGGCCAAGTATTTTCCCTGACTCTTATGTCTTTTGTTCAAGCTGTGATAAATGTCAACGGATGGGCTCTTTAAGCTCAAAGAATCAAATGCCCCTCAATCCCATATTAGTTTGTGAATTTTTTGACGTTTGGGGGATTAATTTTATGGGGCATTTTCCATCATCTTCGGGTTTTATTTATATTCTTTTGGCTGTGGACTATGTTTCCAAGCGGGTGGAAGCAAAGGCTACCCATACTAATGATTCAAAAGTTGTGACAGATTTCTTGAAGGCCAACATTTTTTCCAGATTTGGTGTTCCAAAAGCCTTGATCAGTGATCGTGGTACACATTTTTGTAATCGTATGCTCGAGAGTGTTTTGAAGAAATATGGTGTCACTCATAAAGTTTCCACAGCATACCACCCACAAACAAATGGACAAGCTAAGGTGAGCAATCGACAAATCAAGGGCATTTTGGAGAAAACCGTGAATACAGCAAGGAAAGATTGGAGTACACGCCTTAATGATGATTTATGGGCATACCGCACTGCATATAAAACTCCAAATGGAATGTCTCCATACCATATTGTTTTTGGAAAGCCGTGTCGATTACCCGTTGAGTTGGAACCTAGGGCCTATTGGGCGATCAAGCAATTCAACATGGATTTAAACGAATCGGGAAAGAAGAGGAAGCTGGACATACAAGAACTTGAGGAAATCCGCAATGAGGCGTATGAGAATGAGGTTCTTTATGAGGAAAAGACCAAAGCATTCCATGACAAGATGATTCCACGTAAGGTATTTCACAAAGGTCAAAAGGTACTACTTTACCATTCATGTTTTAAATTGATTCCTGGTAAATTAAGGTCCCGTTGGGTGGGACCATTTGTTGCCACTAATGTTTTTGAGCATGGTGCAATAGAAATCACAAGTGAGAAAACCGGGAAGATTTTTAAGGTAAATGGTCACCGTTTGAAGCCTTATTACGAAGGATTTCAAGTCAAGAATGAAGAAATGGAGGAAGTAATGGATCCAGAATTGAAGGAAGTAATGGATCCAAATTATAAAGATTGATAAATAGTTGGGGTCCAAGTCGAGCTAATGACATTAAAAAGGGGCGGCTAACCGGGAGGCAACCCGGGGGTATTTTTGTCATTTCTTATATTTTCTTATATTTTCGTTCTTTTCAAACTTCCAAGTTGTTCTTCATGCTAAAAGAGAGTAAAAAAATCATTTTCTGTCAGTAGAGATTTAGCGGGTTGCAAATTCACAAAGTGAAAAAATCAAATTTTTTTGGCCTTTATAGGAGTTTACACGGCCGTGTAAACGTACACCTAAAATTTACACGGGCCGTGTAAACGACCAGACAGCTAATTTCAGGATCTTCATTTACACGGCCCTGTAAATCCCCCCCCCCCCTTTAGTTTACACGGGCTGTGTAAACGTAAAACACAGATCTGGTCGATTTTAAGGCTACAATTTGATTTTTTAACTCATTGTTCTCTCAATACATGCGATTCCTTCTCCCCCTACTGCACCCCTTCGAAAAATCACTTCCAAATACTCAACCTTCCTCAATTTTTCATCAAAATCAAGCTCCAAGGTATGAAATTCTTCTCTTTTCTTCATCTTCTTTATCTTCCACCTGTATTCTACCCTTTTCATGGCCGATTTTGGGGTTTTTGAGCAAAACCCTAGAATTTTTGAACTTCAAATCTCGACCTAATTCTTGAAATTTCTTGTAGTATAAGCTTGGGGATAGCTTGGGGAAGCATTGGATATCATCTTACCACCATTATCAAGCACAAATTGGTACAATTGTTCCAAACTCTTACTTTATGCATTTAGATAGAACCATATTCTTTTTTGGGTGATTTTTGGTGAATCTTGCTAGTTCTTGTGCTCCAATTGTCATAAATTGTGTGCAATATTTTGTTGATTCATTTGGGTTATGGCTTCCCGGGGTAAAAGACATAGAGTTGGAACTTCACATGATGAACAAGACCCACATGCCATGGACAACCCTTATGAATTTGGTCTTATTTTTGAGACCAATCGATAGGAAATCTTGTATTTAAATCTTGTTACGTGAACAATGGATGCTCAAAAATTTGTGGAAATCCAATCCCTCAAAGATTTACACATATACAAGGGTGACCACAAGCTCTTTAAAAACATAGGATGGGAGGGTCTTTTGGATCTTCATGCAGTTAGTTACCAAACACCAATGTTGGAAAATTTGTCTTCCATTACCTTTGACTATCAAACCCATCTCCTGACTTTACGTTTGCTCAATCAAACCCATCGGTTTCATGCTAACATCCTTTGTGATATGATTGGTGCTCCCAAAGCAAGAAGGGATGTATACACAACAAAGGGAAGAAAAAATGTCATTTTTGAGCAAGACTGTGCAAATTTTTGGAGGAACATCTCTTGTGAGTATGAGCACCAGTCAGACACATCCAAAGCTTCTAGAATTATCCATCCGGTCTTGAAAGTCTCCCACCAGATCATTGCTTCTATCTTATTCCCTCAAGAAGAGATTAGCAAGGCTAATAAGAAAGAGCTAGAAGTCTTGTGATGTATGGTCAACAAGCCTGCAGAAGTCCCTCATTTTGGGTGTTGAGTGATTCAGAAAATGCTCAGAAGTGCTACGAGCAATTGTGGGCAGTTGTATTGTGGAGGCATGGTTTCTATTATTGCTGAGCGTCTTGGCCTCCATCTACCCAATAACCCAACAAATATAGTCATAGGCCATACTCATCTATCAATTGATGTTATGGAAACAATGCATCTCTTCCACCGCCTTCCCACTGGGGATGTTCATTGGATAGTAGATGGGAAAGAGTATCTACACATAGACAGCAGAAACAAGAAGATACTCAATTTAGCCAATGACATTCCATCAACCACTTGGAAACTCAGATCTAACTTAGGTGTTACAGTAGATCATAGTCCTCCACCCTCTCCTCCTCCTGCTCCTACTGCTGGTGCCTCTAGCTCATCTCGCCCCATTCCTTTTTCTGAACACCATCTTTATATGGGCGAGTTTGCATGTTTGAACCACTATTAAACCAGTCTAAAACAGGAAGCCGGGGAAATTTATACGGGTGTCACTGAAATCACTTCTGATTTTCAGGACTACCGTAACTTGCAAGAAGAGCATTGGGCCCAACAAGAGTTGCGGTGGGCTGAACAGGATCAAAGATGGGCCGCTCAAGAGCAGCACAACCGCAACATTCATCATCTGCTTGAGCGATATCCATAGAGTTATTGTGCTTCACACAGAACCACATCAACCATCAGCATCCCAACCCCAATGACCTCCCTATTATCCTACAAATTATACTTCATAGTTCCCTCCATATCCTCCACCCGGTCCTCAATAGGACGGCTATGCCTCTCTCCAAGAATCGAGGACGATGCTTATTTTAAGCTTGGGGAGGGACATCCATCCATGCATAAATCCCGTTGCAAGTAGGTTGCATGTAGTTTTGTACATATTGCATTAATTTTCATTTCATTTTCTTTTTCATTTTTTTTCTGTATGGAAAATTTTCAAAAACCAAAAAGATTTTCTTTCTATTCTAATTTTTATTATTTCTTTGCATTTTGTTTGCATCTAAATTTTTGCATTGCATTCACTGCATAATTACTTAAGTAAAAAAATTAAAAAAAATAAAATAAAATAAATAAATAAATAAAAAATTTAGATCCAATCCCAAGCAACCAAATCTTTTCAAAACAGTTGAGATGGTAAGTGATTTTTTTGCCTTGAGATTTAACTTGCTCTTTTTATTGAAAATGTGAAAGCAAGTTAATCACACACGAGCACATCTCTCGAAGCTATTTGTGCAAAACAGAATATGAGAAGATTGTCAACACTGGAGCATAACAGCAGGTATGAGTCGATTCTTTGGGACATATGACCGGTCTTATGAGTAGTAATGCTCAATTGAACTTAAAATGCCAAATTCAAAAGTTCATTTAGAGAATGCAAAATCTCAATGTCCCGCTTTCCAACGCTCTTAAAAGTCCTTTCTACTTATTCCCTTTTATATACCCTGCTTGAGGACATAGCTTTCAACTATACTTACGGGTTTTTGCATGTTAACATTTAGTCACCCGAAAAATGTCTAGAAGTCCCTCCGGTAATTGACCGTGAGATGTCCCACAATAGAAAAGTCAAGGACGGAAATATAAAAAAATTGGCCAAATAAATAAATTAATAAGAGTGTTATGTGTTAACTTAGTTATTTGTATATGTGTTACTTAAGTAATAAAAAAAATAAAAAAAAACTATTATTAAGTTAATCTGTGACTTTTGGGATTCGAACAAGTAAACTCTGAGGGGTGTTTTACACCTAATCGCCTAAAGCTAAATTGTTTGGGACTGATTGAGTTGAAACTTCGTTACACGGGTTCCATAGAAAGTCATGAACTTAATAATAACAAATAAAGCTAATCTGTGGCCTTTGAGGTTCGGGCAAGTAAACCCGAGGGATCTCTTTAAATCTAGCACACTAAGGTCATTTGATTTGGATGTGTTGGTTGGAAGCCCGTTACACGGATTTCAAAGAAATCCATGAGCTTTATTTATAAAAAAAATGTAATTAGGAAGTTTGTATATAATTGTGTTTATAGTTTAATCGAATATTGTGTTTAGGAAAAATACTTGGCTGTCAAAAGATTCCCTTGGACTTGGATTTGAACTTATGACATTGGAATGAATGTTAATTACTTCGACTGGTGTAAGTGGTTTGAAGTTTTTAACCAATCCGGATAATTATTAGGGAATTTTTTGGAAAAGATTTTTCAGAAAAAGATTGTTGTTGACCAACAAATAGCTGGAATCGGACATTGTTATATTTTATGAAACAAAGATGGTTGATCATGTTTTGTCACATATAATTTCACGAGAGTAAGACCATAATTTGTTCCAAGAATTGACTTGATGATATTGAAAAGGAATAAATGTTGTGATCTTTGATTCTGTTGAGTTGTACTAGGGAGTGGCCAAAGTCTTGTTTCTATTATCATATAATATTTTGAGACTAAAACCAAGTTAACTCAAGGCATGACAAGTACATTCTCAACTATGGTACAAAACATGGTAATTGGGTTGGATCTTTTCATATTTGTTTTGATTTCATGCATTAAGTTTCAAATAGTTTTAATTTTAATTTTCTTTTCTTCTATTCTATTTTATTTTCTCCAGTTTAAATCTTCTTGTTCTTTCTTGAGGACAAGAAAGGTTCAAGCTTGGGGAGATTTGTTAGATGCATTTCATGCATTCATTTTGTAGATTTAGTTCATAAAAGTGCATTGCATTTAGGTTTAAACTCATGCATTTTGCATATTCTTCGGGATTTTTCATGATGCAATTCCATTCACACACTTTTATGATATTTCAGGGACTTTTGAAGGTTGGATCTTGATGGAGGAAGTTAAAAAGAGTTGGAGACAATGTTTCAGAAGTTTTGGAGCATTGAAGAAAAGTGAGAATGAAGAAATAAAGAATTTGGCTTCTTAGGAGTTTACACGGCCGTGTAAATGATAGCTTATAATTTACACGGGCCGTGTAAACGTATACACAAGGGCATTCTACTTCGAAGACCTGGAAGAATTAAGCATTCTACTTTTCTTGTTTACACGGCTGTGTAAATGGCACCCTTTAATCTACACGGGTCGTGTAAACGTATCGACAGTTTTTAAAGTAGTTTTATCCTCATATAATTCAGACAATCGGTTTTGTGGGAAGTTAGATCGGATTTTGGGCGAAGAGTGGTGATTTTCAGAGCTTTTGGGAAGTATATTAACACTTGAAAACACTTTAATTTCCTTTTTGTAAGTCAATTTGAAGTTTAAACTTGTTTGATTTGTAGTTCAACCTAGACATGTGTGGTTGATTTCATTATCATTTCCGAATCTGAATTCTTAAGTATGTGTTGTTAGATTGTAACTTGAATTTGACTTGTGTTTAACATCTAGTAATCTTTGATTTGATCTTAATCATGTGTTTGGTTGGTTCTCTTTTTCACTTGATCAATGAATTAGGGTTCTAGTCAATCTAGTTAATCAAATTATGAAATTCGTATATGTTTTATGATTTGATGTTAGTAACACACACTTACTTGGTTGTAATTAGATCAAAATTAGTGCAATCAAAGATTAAATGTTTATATTCCCAAGCTTAAGAGGAATGTTAAACATTGTTGGTAATTAGTGTAAGAACTTAATGTCATTTAATGATTTGATGCAAGAACTTAATTGAATTGAATCAATTAATTGAAGTTTTATTTGAAGAGCTTGTTTTGAATAATATACTTTTGTTAATTTGGATATTAGAGTTTATTTATATCCAACTCACCAACCTAGATTGAACATGAGTTATAATCATTTTACATCTTTCAACATAATACATGTATAAGAGTCAGAATCGGAAATGTACTTCTTTTACTGCGTTTTATTATCAATCTTTTTTTATTTATGAAGTTTAATTCAAGTTCAAACACAATCCCCCATTTTAATATTATTTGTATATTGTGTGAAAATATGGCAAGATAAGAAGTCTTGTATTCCTGTGGACCAACCCTGCTTACTCTATACTATCTTTAGTATATGGAATAGTAGTGACTTGAGCTTTATTAATATTATTTTATCCAATTAGTTGTTGGTTTGACAACCAAACATTATGTTATATGATGAGCTATACTATGCTTGCTAGAGTAGACTATGTATCCTTATTAGGACTAGAGTGGCCTGATATATATGATGCCTTAGTGTAGGAGTTTTGCTGCTAGGGATGCTTGAGAGTGTTTAGATAGCAGCGAGGAGATTATGAGAGATCATCTAGCAAGTAGCATATGAGTAGAGAAAATAGAGTACTTGGGATTTGGGACTCTGGGAGGAGGACTTGGGATGAATGTTGATGCGGTGTGGATGGTAGTATTGGGCCCGTACTACCGAAGGCACCGGGTTAGTGCGCAACCTAAGTAAGAATCCTTAGGGTACCAGAGACCAAGTAGGATTGGGGGTATCGAGTGTGTGTACACCCGAGCGAGTCTCTGATATCTTGTGTTGTATTTCAGAGAGGCATCATGGTGGGGAGGCATCACAAACCAAGGACTAGTGGAGGGGGTGTGAGTGACGAGGAGCTCCGCCAGATGATTCATGATGAGGAGGTTGCTGCCATCTGCCCTGAGATTTCAGAGATGTTAGGGTCTATCAAGAACACCCTGATAGAGACATTTGACGAGAGATACACTGCTCTTTCTGATGCTGTTGTTGCTGCGGCCACTGCAGCTGTAGCTGCGGCTAGACCGCAGGGTGGTGATGCGTTGCTGTTCCGGGAGTTCAGCAACACAAAACCACCAAAGTTTGATGAGACCCAGGACCCGATTGCATCGGTGAGGTGGATTTCATACATCGAGGGGTGTTTCTTCACATGCTCATCTCCAGAGCATTTGAGAGTCCGGTTCGCGTTGAACCAGCTTCGCTTGGGAGCGATGGACTGGTGGAAGTTTGTGACGGCCCATTATTCGCTTGTTGAGCTTGCTGCAGTGACTTGGGAGAGGTTCACTGCTATGTTATGAGATTAGTACGTTCCCTAGGTGGAGAGGGAGCGTTTGGCCCAGGAGTCCTCAAGAAGGGTACTGAGTCTGTCACAGCGATTACGAGGATGTTCCATGAGCGGGCGATGTTCTGCCCAGAGCACGTGTCCTCCGAGCAGACACGTATGAGCCGATATCTGAGCATTTTGAGGAGGGATATACGAGAGTTCGTGGCGAACTCAACGTACCGGACATTTGCTGAGCTTCAGGTAAATGCCCGGAAGAGGGAGATAGAGCTGGGGACTCAGGCTAGGGAGGAGGTTGAGTCTCAGGGGAGGGATCAGCGACCGGTGCAGTCTCAACTGGCAGCCAAGTGGGCCAAGCCCGCTAATTCAAGATCTGAGAGTCAGAAGGGTTGCACTTGTGGAAAGTGAGGCAAGAGCCACGATGGGGTGTGCAGAGCGGGGTCCTGCTACAAATGTGGAAAGGAGGGGCATATGACCAAGGATTGCCCTAAAGGGTTTGCAGTATGCTTTCACTGCAACCAGATCGGACACCGCAAGGCAGAGTGTCCACAGTTGCGAGGGACAGCCCAGGGAGCACCTCAGGGATTTGCCCCTGCTGCTATCAGAGCTACTGAGAGCCGGCCAGTGAAGGCTGAGGTACCGAAGGCAAGAGGGAGAGCCTTTCAGTTGACTGCGAAGGAGGTCCACGCGGCACCCGATGTCGTGGCTGGTATGTAACCTTTCTTGTATTTATTTTGATGTTGG